AAGACTCGGCATAGCGAAGATGTTAATTCTCCCTAAACTGATTTACAGGTTTAACGCAATTTTATTTTTTTAATTTGTTCTTATTTTTTTAAAAGATTTACTTATTTGAGAGAGGAAGAGAGAGAGAAAGTGAGTACACACACACACACACACACAGAAAGAGAGAGAGAGAGACGCAGGTTTCCAAGGACCAGGCAGCCCGACACAGGGCTTGATGCCCGACACAGGGCTCGATGCCAGGACCCTGAGACCATGACCTGAGCCAAAGGCAGATGCTTAACGACTGAGCCACCCAGGCTCGTCTTTAATGCAATCGTAAAAAATATGTATTTATATGAAAGAGAGAACGAAAACATGAATGATGGGAGGGGCAGAGGAGGAGGGAGAGAACCTCAAGCAGACTCCGTGCTGAGCAGGGAGCCTGACGTGGTGCTCGATCCCACAACCCTGATATCACGACCTAAGCCAAAACCAAGAGTTGGATGTTTTGAGCCAACCAGGCACCCCATATTTAATGCAATTTTGATCAAGATCCCAAGAGGACTTTTCTTTTTATTAAAGATTTTTATTTATTTATCTCTCCTTTCTGAGAGGGGAGAAGGTCAGAGGGAGAAGCAGGATCCCCATGTAGCTGGGAGCCCGATGTGGGACTCAATCCCCAGGCAGTCACTTAACCGACTGAACCATCCAGGTGCCCCCAAGAGGCCTTTTTATAGATAGAGACAAGCTATAAAATTGGTTTGGCGGGTGGGGCGCCTGGGTGGCTCAGGTCATGATCCCAGGGTCCTGGGATCAAGCCCCACATTTGGCTCCACTCAGCAGGAAGTCTGCTTCTCTCTCTGCCGCTCCCCTTGCTCATGCTTGCTCTCTCTCTCAAATAAGTAAATAAAATCTTTTAAAAATAAGCTGGTATGGCAGACAAAGTAACTAGAGTAGCGAGGACAACTGAATAAGAATAAACTTAGTGTCACAGCACCATCGTTCTGAGACTCACCGTAAAGCCACAGTGGTCAAGGCTGGTGTCGGAGAACCAGACACACGGACCGATGTGGAGCATACAACCTGTGTACAGACCCAGCTGAAGGTGTAATGCCCGCCACAGGTCCAACACCACAAACACAGACGCTTCTGCCAGTCCTAATTCCTGCCTGATTTGCCAGGGAACCTTGGCTCGAGGCAAAGCAAGTGCAAAGCAAGATATGCCTCTGCCCCCAAAAGGAAAAAGACAAAGCATTTTTTTTCCAGGGAGAGAGAAAAGTCAAGCAGCAATATGAAGGTTGTAAGACATACATCCCGTCACACACTGGCTTACGTTCCCGACACCGCAGACCCTGGACTACACAATCTGATTTCACTCGCTGACGTTCATGAATTTTAGAGACAGGAGAGCGGTGATGCCACGAGGGAAGACGAGTCATCTGAGGGGAGCACGACCAGAAAAATGAGCGAGGGAATCCTGCACAACACATACATCCTCTCAGACTACCCGTCGCCTGGACTAGCAGGTCACAAGCAGAGCCAGAGCCCCGCAGGGTGACACCCACCTCTGCTGGGAAGAGAGCGGGGCTGGGCAGGTGCGCAGCTCTGGGCACCCCAGCTGTTCCCAAGGACACGCGGGTGCAGGCCGGAGGGGGCAGAGGGCCAGACCTGGGTGCCCGGCAGGCAACACACGTAGCTGCTGTTTTCACAGGGGCCTCCGGTCTTTGGGCATCGCACCTCTGCACTAGCCCCACCCCCATCATACTCTGACCAGGGGCCGTGCTAGAGAAGCCCCAGGCCTGGAGGAAGCCTTCTCATCTGAAAGCAGCCTGACCGTCGTCTTCTCTATCAGCAGCAGGTACGGGCAAGGCCCCCAACACCTACCCACGTTCATGACGAGGGGTCTGCTCCAAACTTCTGAGGAGGGGGCTGTGGTGGGAGGATGCGTGGGAAGGCAGGCAGGGGGGCTCTGGACCACGGAGGCCGGCGAGGGGAGGCAGAACCCGAGGCAGAGCTCTCGAGCCTGTGGGTCTCTCCTTGGCTGCGGGCTCCCGCTGCGTCCTGGTGAGTGGCTGCCCACTTCTCAGGCCTCAGGATGTGGGCTGCACCAGGAGGGTCTGGACACTCACACAGGATAAGCCCATGGCAGGAAGGAGCACACCTCTCAGGGGCCTCTGGGGGCAGGCTCTGGTTGTCAGGAATAGCAAAGCACGGGGTGGCTAAGTTCATGGGGCACGTCAGGGCCACCAGCCTTCCTCTTCCTCATGAAGCTTCCCCATTGGGGGCAGTGCCTCCTCCCACCTGCTTCTTGCTAGAGATGGGGTCCACCCACTGCCTCCCAAGAGACCAGGGACACACAGCTGCTGTCGGGCTGCTGTTTGTCCGAGGTGAGTGCCTCTGTGGGCCAGTTTGGTGGCCGGCCCCCCGACCGTCGCAGGGCCAGAGCGGGGCCCTCAGGCACTCCGCCCCCAGCCCTTGCCCTGCTGTGGGTCACACACAGCAGTTGGCGGTACGCAGCTGTGACAGATGGCAGTGACAGGCAGGGGCGGGAGAAGACGCAGGTGGGGAGCCCGGGAGATGCTGGTGGCCGTCGGGAGAAGAGGCAGCCGAGCCGGCTGCTGACCACAGTGACAGCGTGCATATGCATAAACAAGATAATTAATTTTGAAGGGGAAATCAAGGGAAGCTGAGCTCGCCGCGGCCACCCGGCTCCAGCCCGGACACCAGGCGCAGCGTGTCTGCAGCCTCAGCCACAGAAGATGTTCCTGGGTGAAGGCCAGCAGCTACCTTCTGCCGTGTGGCGTTTGTCCGCTGACGGACCCGGTGCAGCCTGCGGGCACTGGGTTCTCGAGAGTGAACGCTTGGAAGACAAATACACAGATAGAGACGCATTTTAAAGGTGAAGCCGGCGGGCGACCATGGCTTGTGGAAGACGCACCGTGGCAAACAGGCACGGGGTCCCAAGGGCAGCTGTGGGACTCACTGCAGCCCCACAGGGAGAGGGGACAGAAGCCAGATGAGACCATGGAGGCAGAGCAGGAGGCCCGTCCAAGTGGGGGGGCCCGCGTGTGTAGCACCCTGACCCCTGCCGAACAGAGCTGTGCACGGCAGGGATGATGGGGTGCCCTGGGCTGCCACATCATCAAGCAGCCACAGCCAGAGCAACCCCATGATGGGGACCCGGCTGAGACATGCCAGTTTCACCACACAGGGACCGACTGTGGCAGCCCAGACTGTGCCCTGTGGGGCCCACAAGTGAGCCACCCTCCTGAGCAGTCAGGCCTCTCCCAGACTCCAGCCCCAGGCATGTGCTCCTCCCCCTCCTGCTCTGGGGCTGTGGGAGCCAAAGTGGATTCTCCCTCCTGTCTGGGAAGCACCGCTTGGCCCAACCACCCCTCTGATCCTGTCCTCCGCAAGAGCTCCCGTTGGCAGGGCCGAGCCCCCAGAGCCCCCCGGCCACTCACTCCTGCTTCCTGGTCCTGAGTTCTGGCTAGAGAAGCACCACGGGCTCCTGGGCTGCAGAGGCCTGGGGGAAACCTCACTCCACACTGCCTCTGGGCCAGGTGGCTCCAGGGGACACCGTGCCTGGCCCAGAATGAGGACCCCCGCCTGCCTGCCGGCCAAAAGCAATGCATGAGAAAACCTGAGGTCAAGGTGCCTCCAGCAGACCGGCCCGGGGGGGTCTCAAGGCAAGTGTCCTGGGCATCGCTGTGCTTCCCACTCCCTGTCAGCACCCGGCATGCTCCTGCTCAGGCGTCCCTGTCCCTGAGAAGCGTGGATATCACGCCTGTCCCTCAGGCCTTGGTGGCATTGCCAAGCTCTGGGTCCCCTCACTGTGAGGAGTAAAGGCGTCACCTGAGCCCAGACGGAAGCCATGTGAAGGCCCCGTACCTGACGTCACCTGCTCAACAGACAACAGGAACCGATGGTGGGTGAGAGACCCCAAGGATATGACACAGGTCATCCTGGTCGCGTCAGGGACACCCATGGTGCTGGAAGGGTGGGGCGGGGCGCATGGATGGCAGGTGGGTCTGGATGGGGGCATAGGCACGACCGGCGTGGAGCCTGCCCGTGCACCAGGGAGGGGAGCAAGGGCAGGCCTGGAGCCCTGTCACCAGCAGGGAGGAGTGGCCCGGGGGGCCTGGAGAGGGGCCACAGGCTGGCCCTCCACACGGGGCCCAGGTGAGGGGTCCCAGGCAGGCAGAACACCTTCCTCATGTCACTGTGAACATTATTACAGGCTCACACCCAAAAGCACCCTGACCCACCTGTGTGCTCGGCCGCCTTCTCGACCCCCCACTTCGGACACAGACGCGGAGACCACAGATGGGACCAGTGCCGAATGGGAGAGCCGGGGCTGCGGGGAGAGACGCGGCTCACCTCTCCTCCCAGAGACCACTCCCACGGGGCGTCCAGCCCGGACATCGGCTTAGACCACCTCCTTTTCATCAGGATCCTAGCCCCCCGGCCCCCAAGGTCTTCTGTGATTGTTATTCACTTGCGATCAGCCGACTGTAGCTACGGGACACTCTGCGGAAGACAGGAAGACCCCCTTCTCCTGCTTCACCCTTGTTAACTCAGAGGAGCAACGAGAGCCAGCGGTCGTTCCAGCGGCCGGAGCAACCTCCACATTCAGGGCTCTGGGAGTCGCCCACACCGGCCTCGTGAGGCTCCTAGAGCTGGCACACCCACCCCGGCTTCACTGAGTGGAGACAGGGCCCCACCAGCACGGTACTTTTAACCCGATAGCGCCTACAACAACCTCCGTTTTAACAAGGGCTCTGTGAGGCTGTCATGACCCACCTCACGGTGCCCCCGGTGGACGGAGCCTGGGGGCAGCGGGGCAGAGCACTGGAGGTCGGGCCCAGCACCGTCCACACGACCACAGTGCCTGGAAACACTAGCAGCTCTGCTGTCCGGAAGGAGCCAACCCCGCGCGAGCGGGATTCAAACCAGAAGCAGAGACCCTCACCCTCTGGGGCTGGGTGGTCACGGCCACACGATGCCCGTATGTGGCCCACCTGCGTCTCCCTTTCGTTTCCTTCTGCGTGGAGCACGTAGGGGCAGCCCTCCTTCTTCGGGTTTTCTGAGACTATGCGCACCTCAACGGCTGGCAGCGGGGTCCCCACGGAGCCTGCAGAAGAGAGAGGAGAGGGCTGCACAGAAAGCCGTAGACCCCAGAGCCAAGGGTACAGGGCTCGGCTCAGTGTACGCAGGTGGCCGCCCGGCTCCATGGCTGCCAGCGCTCACAGCCGCCCACAGCCCGTGAGGCCCGGCTCCGGACACTCCGCCAACTTGGGGAGGCTCCCGGCACCTGGGCTGGAGGCTGGGGCTGCTGCCGCTTCCCCACTAGTGGCTGGCTGGGCAGTAAGGGCCCAGGGGGCACGGAGGACACCCGCACAAGGAAGGCCCAAGAGGGATGGGGCTGGCAGGTGGAGAAGGCCGCCAGCACGCTGGTTCATTTATTAGGCGCCCACGGTTTGCTCCCAAAGCACCTGGTGGAGTGGCCTGCCGTGCCCTGAGTCCCCACAACCCCCCTAACAAAGGACCAATGTGGGCAGAGGCCCCAACACCAAAGGCTCAGCCTCTGACAGGACCCACGTGAAGGACTTCAGGTGCTTCATCTTAACCCCTGGAATCAGTGAGCGTTTGTCCCGGGACTAATGCCCGGGGCACTGACTCTACCACCTGACACCTGCTCAGGATTCCGGGACCACAGCCGCATGCTAGGATGGCACCGCACTGCCCCGGTGGCCTGTCTTCTGCATCTGAGGCCGGGGCTGGAACGAGGGCTCTCAGCTGTCCTATCCCCGGTGGCCTCGTACCTCCACTCTGGTCAGAAGCCACATCCTTGCCTGGTGGGGAGCACAGCAGGCAGATCCCTCCCAGCCCTCCGTCTTCTCGGTTTGCTTCCAAAGGATTTGCAAATCCAAGTTAAATGTACGTGAGACACAGTGAATCATCACAAAGCTGCAAAGCCACGTAACTCATGGCTTTCTACACATTCACGACGCGGGAACCGCCACTGCTATCTAGTTCCAGAACTTTCCGTCACCCAGAAGGAAACCCGAGCCCTCAGCAGCTCATCCCCTCCCGCAACCCCCACTCCTGCCTGCGCGGACCAGCCTGGTCTGGACTTTCCCTACGGAGCCTGGGACCCGGCCCTCCCCAGGCCTCCGCTGGTGCCAGTGCTCACAGCCTGTGGCCACACAGGCACCGGGACATGTGAGACGCCGGCCAGGAAGCGAGGGAGTGTCATCCACAGTGTTCAAAGGAGACACGGGGACCAGACGTGACGTCCTGTGAGCCCAGCCCCTCCAGCCCCACTTCTGGCCTCGCTTACACCGCCAGCGAACACCAGACGCTGCTCCACACGCGGGCCAGACACGCATTCGGGTGACGTCAAGGTCGTTTCCTTTTCTAGATTAAATGAACAGTTCCTTTCCTTGTGGATTCTTTTCAGCGACAAGCTTAACTCCTCCGTTGCATACGCTGCTGTCCCCCGGCCTCAGGCCCATGCAGAAGGGCTGACCACGGCTCCGCAGCAGGCCAGGGCCACAACCTTGCCTGTGGGATGCCGAGCTGGGCCAGGGCCCGAGGTCCTCACACGGCTCCCAAGTGCTGGTGTGTTAGGACCGGAGCTCAGCAGGTGACCTCGGTGTCAGCCCTCAGTGACCACAGTGTGTGGTGGTGACGCATGACGAAAACATGTTAAAGCCACAGAGCAGGTTTGGGAGGAGGCCGGTGTGGGATGGGGGCCAGCCAGGAGGGGCTCAGACAGTTCATGTGGACCCCGCCCCGTGTCCCTGACAAGGCTGCCCCTTGTGGCTCCCATCATTGGGACGAGGAGCGGGAGTGCCGAGGGCACATGGAGTGTGGCATTCGGCTGACTGACCCCGTCCTGAGGCCGGGCAGAGGCAGAGCCCCTCGGCCGCTGAGCAGGCAATCAGAAAGAACGAGCACCGTCCACTGCAACAGAGAACCTTCCGCAGGAGCCCGGCCTCGCTCAGAAATCAAGGCCAGCTCTTCCTCCCCTGTCCTGCCGAGCTCTGCAGGGGGATGTGTGCGGGCCCCACTGCCAGCCGGAGAAGGGCAAGGGCACCACCTGAACACTGCCTGCGTCCGAGCCAGTCACAGCGGCGTGTCCCCAGATGACCCCCAACTGGCTGGCTCGGCCACTGACCGGAGCGTCCCACGCCCCCTCTCCCGGAACCCCACAGATCTGAGCTGCCCACCACCACCTTCTGATGAAGGACGTGACTCAGGAGCAGCAGATGGAAGAGATGCCCAGGAAGGGGGCTCCCCCAGCTCCTATGCCCCCAGGGCACCCCCCAGCACCTCGTCTGTGCACCAGCATCCTTAGGGTTTCCATGGAGATCCCACAACTCACGAAGCCAGCGGCCACGGACTCAGCCCACAGCCCCTCTCCCCAGAGGCTCTGCCCCTCCAATCGGCCCATTGGTCCCAGGCTGTCTCCTTCGCACACACTCAGGTGCTGGGGAGGGGGCTTCTGTGAACAGCTAAGACCCCCTTGTGGCTCCCATTACCTAGGAAATTCCAACCGTTCCAGGACCTCTGCACCAGCTATGGAGAGAGACCAAATGTCTATTTCTTACCAGAAGAGGGTCCTCTCTGACCGTCCTCCTCAGCCAAAAGCACCAGCCTCCCCACTCACCGTCCTCCTCCCGCCTTTCCGTCCACTGCCTTCTCCTTCGAATATTTTTTAAAAAGGAAGAAACCCTCCTCCCAGCTTCCTCCTGCTCCGCTCTGGCCCCTTCCCCGTCTCAAGAGTGAATGCTGTCACAGCCATTACGACCTGCGAGGAAAGTGCTGACGGAACCCTAGCTGGTGACAGCACCAGACACGACTGACACCTCCAGGCAGAGACAACCACCGCAGTCCTGTAGGCCTGAGGTACCACCGGGTGAGGGTCCTGCACGGGAGACGCTACAGTCCGCGCGGGGCAGCCCTGGCTCTAGGCCACGTCCACCCGCCCAAGTGGGCCAGATGGAGCAGGGCTGTCAGCAGCAGCTGTCTCCTGCCCCCGTGGGGACGGCGTCCCCCTCCTGTCCTCTCCTGGTGTCCACCTGGAAGCGCCCCCCCTCCTGTCCTGTCCTGCCCCCGCGAGGACGGCGCCCCTCCTGGTGTCCACCTGGGTGGCAGTGTAGGCCACAGTCAGAGGTGCACCTCGTTCTTCTGAATCTCTCCGAACCGCTGTTGGCTCTCCCCAGATAAGCGTAATTGGCCTGCGGCCCTGTCCAGCATCTAGGGAGGGAGGCCGCTCTGCAGCTGGTCCCGAGAGGACGGGAAGGGGCAGCTCAGGTCCTGGAGCCCCTGGCAGCGCGCCACGAAGCCCGCCGCAGGAGCTGTTCACGCCTCTGATCTCTACCTCCACTTACCGCTGATCAGGCCTGGCCGCACGAGGCCATGAATTATTTATGCCCCTTCGTGGTACCCGCCAGGGATGCAGAGAAGGATCAGTCAGAAGATCCCACCCAGAGCTTGGCGCGGCCAACGACACTCTTCGTGCAGCACGTCCCTCTTTCAAGGCTGGCTTTGCCCTGTGCGCCCATCAGCCTTTGAGCACCTTTAACGGACCCAGTGTTCACTGCAGGGACCGTGAGAGCCACGCTCAGAGGCCATGCAGGCAGCCGGAAGGAGGGGCCGGGCTGGAGGGACCCTGAGCTGGAAGCAGGTGTGGGGCCCGGGGGTGGCTGGCCACGTCCCACCTGCATCGTGAGCCCAGCCCCGGCATCGAGCAGGACAAGACCCGAGATGCCAAGGGAAGCCCTCAACCAGGTTTCTCCAGAAACAACACCACTTGGTTTTCTAAACCGAACCACCAGCATTGCACTCGACCGCTGGCGGCCGGCTTCAGACACGGTCACGGGCATCTGATCCCGAGGCAAGAGGAGGGACTGCACCCACGCCCGCACGTACCCCACGGTGTCCTTGAGGCCGGGTCACAGCTGCAGCCACCACCTCAGACCCAAGGATTTCTGCCCGACAAACCTTGGGGATCGGAGCCTTTGTGTTTTACTTTCCTGGAAAAGGCCAGGTGAGTCGGGGACGCTCGTGGGACCTCTGTCCTGACCTCTGCTTTCCCTGCTTAGCTGGGGGTGCTCCCTCCAGCACCAGGGTGAGCCCCCGCTGGGCCTCCCTTGCACACTGCTTCCCATCCTGGCGCCTGGTCTTGTGTTTGCTCCTCTAATGAACCAGGGGATTCCCCATGCCTCTCTGCTCCCTCCTTTCCCCTGACACCATGCACTCCCGGCAAAGCAGGTGTCCCGGGGCGACAGTGTGGATGCCCGCTCCGCCCCAGGCTAGCCGTGCAGCCCCGGCCACTTGTATGGTTGCCTAAAGCCTGTGTCAACGGGGTAAGGTCACCCCTGCATCAGGGGCTGCTCTGGACAGTGTGGCAGCTTTTGGGGAGGCTGAGTACTCACCCACCTTCTGACTAGCAACCCCACCCTGGGTGTTGACCCACGAGAAATAAAGGCACGTGTTTGCAGAGGACCTGCACACACAATGTCTACAATAGCTCTGCCGGTAACTGTCCCCAGACACAAGTCCGTGTCCTTTGGCGGGGGAGCAGGCTAAGAAACAGTGGCCTGTCCACACCACGGGATTCTACGCAGTGAGGGAAAGGAAGCCGCGTCCACACGGGTGAATCTTGGACACATCCCGCTAAAGGACCCAAAGGCCATGTCCTGTACGAGTCACTGTGTGACATTCCAGAAGCAGCAAGACTACAACAAGAGAGAACAGGCGCGTGCTGGCCTGGCCTGGCGTGGAGGAGATGCTAAGCCGTCGCAGCCGTCCTCATCTCAATCCTGGGTCGGCTTTTCAAAACCTGTTTTCAGAACCTCACGGAAGCAGACATGGGCAGGGTGAGCGTGACTGTGTGTGCGAGATGCAGGGACGTAATCACGGAGTCAGAGCTATGCTGCTGTGACTTCTCCTGTGTTGTGGGCCCCCGGGGCTGGGGGGACGCCGCGTGGAGACCAGGAGAGTGCCGAGAGCAGAGCGGGGCACATCCACACCTCGGGCTACAGCTCTGTCGGCAGGGTCCCTGCTAAGGAGCCAGGACATGCAAGTCTGACTTGATGTCAGAGCATCTCAGGGAAGGCTGGACAGTGAGCCCAGGGCACGGAGCCCTGTCTGCTAGCAGATCATCCAGGCACGGGGGACCCCCCCGACGGCCCCTATGCCCTGCATGGCTCTAGGTGCCTGCACGGGAGGCTCCGGCCAGTAGCCCACGAGGCCTGCATGGAAGCAGCGCCTGCCCCGGGAGGCACTCTGCTGAGCACATGGTCCTGGTTATTCCCGTTCTTCCCATTTGTCACCGGGGAGGGACACCTTTCTGTCCTGTCCCTGACCGGCCACGTGGGAAAAATGTGAGTGCCCACAAAGGACAGGCCACAGCCGCCCCAAGGAGGTTCCCTGGCCTGGCAAGGCAGCGTCCTCCCCGGCCCGGCCCAGCTGAGGGCCAGGAGGCTGCTTGTACCTGGCACACGCGCGGCGGTCAAGGGGTTGGACAGGGCCATGCCGATCTCCGTCATGCCGTAGCGCTCCAGTAGAGTGTGGCCCGTGATGCCCTGCCACCTCTCCAGCACGGGCAGGGGCAGGGCGGCCGACCCTGAGACCATCAACCTGTGAGCACAAGAGAGGCAGCCTCAGCTTCCTGCAGCCGGCCCTGGGCTGGACAGCGCCACGCTCTCCACCCAACACCAGTGTCCCCGAGCTCACGACGAGAACACCCGCCGGAGGCTAAACCCGAACTCTGGTCTTTTCAGAGTTTGTGGGGGCGTCATCGAGCAAAACAGGTCTTCAAAAGGAACAGGTAACTACAGCAAAAAAAACAGTTTTAGGGTCTTTGGAGGCGTTCTTTGCGCACGACAAATACGCGGTCTGTAAGCGGCCCGAGACCACAGCTATGACAGTAAGAATTCGGTCTGTGGGTAAACTGCTTCCAGGTCTGCGGAGCAGGAGGAGCAGCCGCGGAGACAGCCCAGAGCCGAGCACCGAGGCAGCTGATGGGCTCGCGACGGGACACCGGTCACTCGCACCACACCGAGTACGGCCCGTTCACACCAGCCAGGCCACGTGCTCTATGTGCCGTGAGAGGCTGTGCTTGCCACGGAATGCGTGTCATGTGGCTCTGGTCCCAGTAGAAGTCACCAAGCCACCCACCTTCGTGTGCACGGTCTCAGGGCTCACACCCGAGGAAGCATCAGGCTGAAGGGCGCTGTGTCTGTGGGCTTGTAAGACAGCAGAACAGGCCCAGGCCACGGAAGGGCCCGGAAGGTCCAGCACATGTCTGTCAACGGGGCTTTGAGGGGCAGGGTAGGGGTGGGGGCGCTCCATGGGGGAGGGGGGCTCGAGGGCCAGAACGGGGGGCCTGAGCCCTCGTCCTTCCAACTGGACCACGAGACAAAGACAGACGCAGAGAGAGACAGAACACGGACAGACACGCAGAAAACGCAGCTCGCTACAGCTTTAAAGGCTGGAAAATACTGCTTCCTACCACCTGGGCCTGTTCGGCTGAACATATGTGATGTCAGCTGCCCTCTAAGGCCTTTGGGGCAGGAGAGGGGGCCGCTTCCATTTACCTAATTCTCTGCTCACAAACTGCGCGGATAAAAGCCTGGACGTGAGGCAGGGTGAGATGTCTGTCGTAGTAATCCGTCAGCTTGGCGTAGATCGTGGGCACCGCCATGAACACGTTAATCCGCGGACTCTCACCACCTAAGAGCTTTTCCCAAACCTAGAAAGGAAGCAGGAGGGATACAGGGAGACGTGAGAAAACTCACACAGGCTCCGATGCGGACAGACACGGCTGGCTCCCGCGCGGTTCCCCGAACAGAGACCGCCCCCCTCCCTCAGCTTTAAAGGCCCCGGACGCGGCTCCCACAATGAGGCATGTCACCTGAGTGACTCTGGTCGTTCCCGTGGGAGTCCCCTGTGCCGGACACTGGCGTCCGGCTGTGGGGTGACATGTGAGGGGGGACAGTCTGCAGGGAGAGAGTAGGGGCACAGCTCCGGCCTCAGGTCTGCTGTCAGGAGAGGTGACGCACCTCCCCCTCTCCCAGGTGGCACTGGTGAGCCTGTGGGTCGGCCCTGGGCCTGGCCCCAGCAGACATGCGGAGATGGTGGACGCATGACCATCCGGTGAGGTGAGAAAAAAACCACGTGCCTTCTGTGTTTTGTTGGGTAGCAGATGCTCCCTGTGTCCATACAGAGATGCCCCGAGACCTCCCTGTTGGCAGGTGTCCCCCCCAGGCTGAGAGACACTGGAGCGGCATCCCACTCTGTCTTCACCACATCACTGCCAAGTGAGCCTCCGGTGACTAGACCTCGCTCCAAAGTGTTCGAGGGGCCAATCCCATGCACCCTGACCCTTAAGAGGAAGGGTTGCCTGGAGGGCGGGTGTATCAGGGGAAATAATACCATTTTTTAAAAGACAACAATCAGCACTACCACACTGCAAAGCTTGCAGGGAAACAGGAAAAAGTGGCCCATGATTATGGAGAAAAAGTCAACAGAGGCCGACCCTCAGAAGATCCAGATGTGGGAGTTAATCAGACAAGGAATTCAAGGTCATTACAAGAAACAGGCCTTGGAATTTTGTAGAAAAGATGAACAAAATGAGGGAAAATCAAGGGTTTCATCAGCGAAGCGGAAATACAAAAGAGAACCATTACAAAACCAGAGACGTGTCATCTGAAGTCAGGAATTCACCGGACAGACTCGGACGCAGACGGGGCAGCACAGAAGAAAGGACAGCAACGGTGAGACACAGGCTCACGGAAAAGGTCCACGCAGAAGGAGGACAGGACAAGACAGAGCAAAGCGAGCAGCACGCGGGCCACAGAGGAAGCACGACACGGCACAGCTGTGGGCCTGGCAGGGACACCCCACGTCTGTGGGCTCGTGGCCTCGACACAGACCAGACAGTGCGTCTCCCCAACCTGAGCTGCAGCGTCAACGCACCCCCCAGATCCCCACGGAGCCCTGGCGCAGAAACTGACCGGCTGACCTGGCACTCACACGGCAGGGTAGAGACCCGAGAGAGCCAAGAGGAGTGTGAAAGGGGGAATAAGCGTGGAGGACTCACACCTCTCAACTCCTGACCTTGCTCCAGATAAGAGTGACCACAGCGGCGCGGTGCCGTTGGAAGGCCAGAGGCCCAGATCGACAGACCGACCGGAGCCCAGGATAAGCACCACTTGCACAGCCCGTTGTCTGCTTGTAAAGACTCTGTGTATTTATCTTAGAGAGAGCGTGTGCGTGAGCGAGTGACCATGGGGGAGGGGCAGAGGGAGAGGGAGAAGCAGACGCCCGGCTGAGCGCTGAGCCTTGGGTGACTCAGCCTCACAACCCTGAGGTCACGCCCCGAGCCAAAACCAAGAGTCACGGGGCGCCTGGGTGGCTCAGTGGGTTAAAGCCTCTGCCTTCGGCTCAGGTCATGATCTCAGGGTCCTGGGATTGAGCCCCACATGGGGTTCTCTGCTCCACAGGGAGCCTGCTTCCTCCTCTCTCTGCTGCCTCTCTGCCTACTTGTGATCTCTGTCAAATAAATAAATAAAATCTTTAAAAAAACCCCAAAAACCAAAACACAAAAAACCCCAAGAGTCAGACACTCAGCCGACTGCGCCAGCCAGGCGCCCTGTGGCCGACTGGTTTTGGACAAGAGGGAGAGCCCTCACTTCAGCTGTGGAAAGACTGATCTTTCCAACAGACAGCACAAGGGGGACTGAGCAGCCACCTGCAGAGGGACGGATTCCAGACCTTTGCCAGACACAAAAATTCACCCAAAGTGAACCAGAGACTTAAATGCATGAGCTCAAACTAGACGACTTCTAGGAAAATATCTCCATGATTTTGGATGAGCAAAGATTTCTCAGATATCACACCAAAAGCATGATCTATGAAATTAACTGATACAATGGATTTCACCTAAACTAAAATCATGTGTTTCAGAAGACACCATTAAGAAAATGAAGAGACAAACCAGACTGGGAGAAAACACCTGTAAACATCCGTCTGACGAAAGACTGACGTGTGGAACGCACACAGAAGGCTGACGATTCAATGAGATCAATAACTTGACACAAACATGGGCAAAGGTCTGAAGATCTCACCAAGGAAGATACAGAAATGCGACTGGGACCGTGAAAAAACGCTCAGCATCACTGCTCATTAAGGAAACGCAAATCGAGGGGCGCCTGGGCGGCACGGTCAGTTACGTGTCCAATTCTTGGATTTGGCTCAGGTCACGATCTCAGTGTTCTGAGATCAGGCCCCATGTTGGGCTCTGCATTCGGTACAGACTCTGCTTCAGATTCCCTCTCCCTCTGGCCCTCCCTGCTCACATACTCTCTCTCAAATAAATAATCTTTAAAAAAGAAAAAGAAATGCAAATTGAAAGCACAGCAGATCTCACCTCCTGTCTGCTAGAACTGGAACAATTACTTAACACGAGAATAAGGGCTGGTCTGATGTGGAGAGACTAGGGTCCTTGCGCACTGCTGGTGAGAATGTAAACAACAGCCCATGTGGAAAATCGTTTGGAAGTTTCTTAAAATACGAAACATAAACTTGCCCTATAATCTGACAATTCCATCACTGCATATCTCTGTAAGGTAAATGAAAACATGTCCACACAAGGGCCTGGGTGCAAATTTTCACAGCAGCATTATTCTTAACAGACCCAAACTGGAAGCAACCCACAGCCCACGAGACAGTTGCTGGGCAAACAGAGCACACGTACCCACACAACAGGGTGCTCTTCAGGAACAAAAAGGCAACCACTGCCCCATATCTTACAACGTGGGTGAAACTCTAAGATGTTTTGCAGAAAGAAGGAAGCCAGACATAAAACACTGCAAGCTGTAGGGCTCAGCACACATGCATTGTCCAGGAAAGGGACTGTGCGGAGACACAGGCTGAAGGCGGTCACCAGGGGTGGCGTGGGAACAGGGAGTGAGACAATGGCGGACAACTCTAGATTTATGAAGAATCACTGAATCATTTGCAACAGTGACTTCCAGGGTGTGTGAATCACACCTGGACAGAGCTGCAAGAAAAACATGATATGAACACTGGAGGGAAACAAGCTGGGAGACTGGTGAGCCGAGCCAACAAGGGCACGGCTGAGAGGAGCACACGGGGAGCGCCACGGGAGAGGCCTGGCAATCAGTGTCGGCGCTATGGGCTCCTGACTGCTTCAAGCAACAACAGCGACGACATGTTGTGAAAATAAAGGAGGGAGGAACGGACAGAAGTCAAACACGCAGGAAGCACAGGTGCATTAGAGAAAAGCCTCTGACACGACAATGGCCAAGAGGAAAGAAGGGAAACGTAAACGACCCACTCAGAGCTACATGAGACATCACCACAGACCCCAGAGGCACTAAACGCACAAGGAGAGAACTTACAGTGAATTTCACAATTGTGATGAGATGGACGATTTCCTTTAAAAAGCAAAACTTACCGAGACAGACACTAGAAACAAAATGTAAGCATTGGAAGTCTTGTATCTGTTAAAGGGTTCGATTCCTTCCTGGAGAGGTCTGGCCCGGATGGCTTCCACGGCGAGCTCGAGCAGACACTCAAGGGAAGAAGAGTTTCGGCCTCACACCAACCGGCCCAGGAAGAAGCCCTTCCCAAGGGAGCACTGTGCCGACATGGAAGCCCAGCGAGAAGGTCCCGAAAGAGCTGCAGACCGCGCTCCTCATGAACACACGTGCCGAAGCCTGAGCAAAATATCAGCAAATGAAATCTAACATACAGAAAGCGACAGTACATCCCAACCCTAGGACATCTGCCCCAGGGCTGCCGGGTGAGGACGCTGGAAACATGGAAGGTGTGAGCAGACCACAGTGACAGGAGGAAACACAACAAACGAAGGGACAGATGCCACGTGATCATCACAGCACACATGGCCATCTAATACTCCAACCTCGAAGGTAAAAGCTTTCGGCAGACAAGGAGGCGCCAGGTACGTCCTCCGGCTAACAGGCGGCATCGACAAAACCAACAGCTAGCATCACACTTAACTGTGAAATGTTAATGCCTTCCCCAAGACTCTGAGCCAGTCAATGGCGGCCACACCATTATTGCTTCCAAATCGGTGCTTCAGAAGTGAAAGTTCTCTGTATCACAAGACACCGTTAAACGACACTGGTTTGCGAGACAAAAACCAGACTGGAGATTCACAATACGTCATTCTGACAAAGGCCTCCATCCAGAACACGAAGAACACTACGCGTCAGTAACAAAGTCCCGGCCCAATCTGAGAAGACCTCCGCGTGGCCAACAAGCACACAGAAAGGTGCTCATGAGAAACGCAAATTCTGTAACAAACGTGGGGGCACCGCACACCCGGGGGGCGGCTGAAACGTAACAAGTCCGAGCAGCTGAGCGCTGGCAGGTGGAGCCCTTGGCCCTTGGCCCTGCGGACAGAAGCACAGAACAGAAACAAGTTAACCGCACATGACTCCACGACCCCGTAATCCTACCCCTGGCGTCTACCCCAGAGAAATGAATATATACATCTCCGAAGACACTTCCACAGAATGCTCCTGGCAGCTTTTCTCCGAAAGCCGAAACGGAAACCATCCCAAATGTCCAGCAACAGGATAGCGATGCCCGGCTGCGGGACCCTGGGTCATGAGAAGGAATCAGCTGTTGCCACGTCAATGTGGACAAACCTCAAAGGTATTATGGGGACGCGCGAGACGCAGGAGCACAGTCGCCGTGGGT